AGGGCTGGAGGAACAGGTATTGGCATCACTTGAAAAGCCAGTGGCAGCACCAGACTCAAGACTCAGAACTCACCTGCTTTCCAAGACTGGCAAAATGTGTGTGCACTGGTACCCTGAGGATATCACCAAACCACTGCAGGGCCAGTTCTGCCTCCTGTTGTGATAGAAACTGTACAGGCTGTCCACGCCATAGGACACCTTTGGCACTTGGTAGCATTCAAAGAGGAGCTCAGACATCATTTGCCTTGAGTACAGAGGGTTGCAAACTGCTTCTGTCAGAACAATTGGGTGATCCACACAGCCCTGGGAGAGACAAGGGGAAAGAACAGCAATAAAGGTATGAAGGGAAAACCCAAGGTTAGTTATCTCTGCTTTTTTAAGCATCAGCAAAAAAACTCCTTCAGAATGGGCAGGAGAAAGCACTTTATGTGCAGGTATTAATCATGAAAGTTAAATTGTATCTAGTGTTTAAGAGGGTAAAAATATGTTACTGTTAATTCAATCAAAGAATAAACTCATAATGGTAGAGAATGGACTTTTGTTAATGTTAATTCAATCAAAGAATAAACTCATAATGGTAGAGAATGGACTTTTAAACACATATATAAATTATTAAAAATCTAAGTAACCACAATCCATGCAATGAGAAAATGAGTGAAAACCAGTGGAAGTTTAGTTCCACTCTGGGTAAAGCTTTCAAACTGGTGTTGTCATGCAGGTAAAGGGCTCCATGGTCTGAGAAGCAACTCTCAACACAGCTGGGTACACAGACCGTCAGTAAACACTACTAGTAACAGCATTCCCGAAGAGTAAATTTAGGGGAGTACGTTTAGATTATAGAATCTATTAAGAATAGATTTAGAATCTATTAAGACTCGTTCCTGTGAGAGTGGTGAGGCACTGGCACGGGTTGCCCAGCGAAGTTGCGGCTGTTTCATCCCTGGCAGCATCCAAGGCCAGGCTGCACGTTAATCTGAGCAACCCGGCGCAGTGCAAGCTGTCCGTGCCCAGGGCAGGGGACAGAGCGCGGTCCCTTCCGACCCAAACCATTCCGGGAGGCACGGGCGGGATGCCCGTACCTGCGAGGAGACGCCGAGGCGCTGGAAGACGTGGTCGAGGAGCAGCTCCTGCAGCTCCAGCTGCACGGGCACGTTGCGGTCGAAGGGCGAGCGCAGCAGCCAGCGCAGGGGCTCGGGGCTGCCCAGGTCGTTCCCCACCTGCGTCTCCGCGCCGGCCCCGCCGCGGGCCCCGCGGCTCCGCGCCGCCAGCGAGCGGAACCGCAGCAGCGGCTCGGCGGGCACGGCGGGGTCGGGGCAGGCCCATCCCGCCCGCGTCTGGAAGGAGCCGTTGTCGATGACCAGCGGCGCCGGCTGCGGGCTCCGCACGGCCGCGCCCGGCTCCAGCACCGGGTCCGGGGCCCAGCGCGCGTCCCGGAACGCGAACACCCGTGTGGGCGCCGCCATGGCGGGCGCGCTCCGCCCGCGTCCGGCCGGCAACGCGGGCCCGCAGCGCCGTTCCGGAGCCGCTGCTGTGGGCGCGGGCTGCGAAGGAATCGAGCTGATCTTAAATGTGTGCGGTCCGAAATGTGAGAGCTTTGTGTGCTCCCCGCCTAACCAGCGGGACAGCAGACCTAGGCGGTGGGACAGGGAGACCTTAAAAGGTCTCATTCCATCCCCCTGCCATGGGCAGGGACCTTCCACCAGCCCAGGCTGCTCCAAACCCTGGCACTGGGCAGCCACAGCTGCTCTGGGCACCCTCTGCCAGGGCCTCATAGTAAAAAAAAAAAAAATCTTCCTAATATTGAACCTAAATTTCCCCTCTTTCAATTTGTGCCATACCTGTTATGTGTAGTAGATATAATTTGCGCCATTTCTAATATGATATATGTGATATTGAATATTTGTTAGAGTATACATGTTTGTATTAGGATTCCCCCCCACACACAGGCGCAGGTGAGACTGGGTGTAGATTAGAAACTGATTTACAAGTAAGAAGGTACAGCTCGCCAGGAGATGGGCCATGTCTGGGGAGATACAGAAACCCCAGGTGCTGACCGAGATGGATCTCATGGAAATCCTGAGGCAGATACATGTGAATACAGCGTTCCTGTAAATTTCATCATTCAACAAACTCCAGACAGTGATTTGTTCTCCCTCATCACCAAAAAAGAAAATCTTATTAACATATGGACTCTGAATAGAAGAAAAGACTGATTGCTGAAATCTTGGCCTCAGGCGGAATTTTCCCTATAAAAACCACTTGTGCCAGGATGGAGGTGTGTGGGCATGGAGGAAAACCTCTGCTGAGGCTGACTCCTTGTTGCACACCCAGGGCCGACCCCGGGCTCGGCTCTGTTCTTTCCTTGTGGCTGGCTAGATAGAATTTGATTGTAAAATAAATATTTTATTTTTCATATTAATTTGGCTGGACAAATTTTCATTTATAACAATACCCCCTTGTCCTGTCACTGCAGCTCCTGAGGAAGAGCCCAGCTTCCCTGCAGCTCCTTCACGGCTGGAAATGTGCCCCGAGGTCTGCACACAACCTCCTCCGTGCAGGCTGAGCAGCCCCAGCTCTGCCAGCCTGGCTCCAGGTGCCCTCAGCAGCTCCGTGGCCTCCCCAGGACCTGCCCCAGCACCTCCATGTCCGTGTGGTGCTGGAGACACCACAGCTGTGCCCAGTGTGTGAGGTGGGGTCTCACCAGAGCACAGCTCCGAGCTGCTGGCATCCCTTACAGGATCATTTGGGTTGGGAAATGCTTCTGAGATCATCGAGTCCAACCTACAACTTAAGGCAGCCGTGTCAGCTAGACCAGAGCCTCATCCAGCCCTGGAGGTTGTCCTTGCTGAGATGAGGGGCCCAGACCTGGGCACAGGAGCCGAGGTGACCCTCTCCAGTGCCCAGCACAGGGCAGGAATCACGTTCCTGGTCCTGCTGGCCACAGTAGCACTGATACAGGCCAGGGTGCCATGGACTTTGTTGGCCCCTGGGCACACCTGACTTGTGTTCAGCCACTGTCCACCAGCACCCCCAGGGTGGAGCCTGTCAAGATTATCTTAAATTGGGATGTTCTTTGATGTAAGACCTTTGTGTGCTTTCAAGCCTAATGAGCAAGAAAGGAGACCTGATCAGTGGAACAGGCAGCAGAATCATCACTTAGTCAAGGGCATCCTGAAGCTAACGAGCTTTAAGGATGTAGCAAATGCAGATGTTGATGTATGTCTATCTATGTATTGGCAAAATACTCAAGATCCATGTGTCCTAGAGCCAAACATGTTCGTTATAATGCTAAAAAAGACCCTTTCCCTGAGAATGCACAGAAATTGCTGGGCTGATGTAACTTGCATGGAGCTTACTAAGCAGTCCTAACAGAGGGGCTGTGCTTGGGAAGTCACTAACTCTGAATTTCTGTGTATAAATAATGGCAGGGAAACTCTATGGGGGTGTGCTGGATTTCTGGAGTACCACAGAGCACCCAGGCTGGGGCAGCAGAAATAAACAATGTCCCTCTCGAGTGTGTCATTATTGCCATGTTTCACACCAGGCAACAAATCCAATTTTGTGGGTACCACCATCTGCCTGGGGCTGAACTGTAGCCCTGCTCCCCTTCACACAGGGCCCCCCTGCCCTTTAAACTTGGGCTGGAAACCTCCCCAGTGGCTGTGGCTTGTGTGGATGTGAAACCCCAGAGCCCTGGGCTGTGACACTTGCCCAGGAGGTCACTGACACAGCCCAGGCATCTGCCACTCCTGTGCCACCAGCCAGGGAAGGGGGAGGGCCTTGCCCCCTTATTTCAACCCCCATTCCCTGGGGAGATGGGGTTCCAGGGTGGGATCCATCCTGCCATGGCAACAAGGATGTCCCAGGCTGGCTCAGCTCAGGGAGGGTCAGTGGACTCCAAGAGCTTCCAGTGAAGTGACTAAGAGACACGATTCATCGTTAAAATTAAACAGATCACAGCTTCAGCTCCTTTCCATCCCTCTCAGCACTGCAGACAAACTGTCAACAGCCTGATTTCCAGAGGTGCCCCCAACCTGCCACCCCCACTGTGTGAAATGGGGACTCAAATATTGAGCATCCTTGAAGCTCAGGGCTTTAATGGCTTTTCTCACTTGTTTACCCAATGCACAAAGCAGGGCTAATAGCTTTGTTTTATCATATAAAGGTGTTATTAATGTGAATTAATAAGAATTTGCAGAGTTCATTTAGACCTTGGGATTAAAAGGCACATTTCAAGGGGCTGTTACTACATAAAAACAAATACATGCTCACGAGCAAGAACATTAAATGCAATCATTTGTAATGTGCATTTACATCACTGCTCTCTTCTCCTGAGAGCTACACAAACAATCTAGTCAAACAACCCTCTGTGAGGTAAGCAATAGATTATGGCTTTATTTTATTGAAGAAGAAACCCACAGTGTGATGAATATCAAGTTATCAAGGCACATATCTGGTTCCTTCTTTGATCACTGCTGAATTCCTTTACTCCTAAGCAATGCTTTTATAGACACACATCCTATGAAATGCACTAGTTGCCTTTCTTGCAGGGAAGGGAGACAGAAGGGCAATTAAATTATGAAGGTTTATTTCCCTAAAGGATTGGCTAATAAATGAGGATATACAGAGTAGGCTAATAATAGAGTCTATATGGGGACATATTTGTGCTCTACATTGAATAAGAGCCCAGGAGAAGAATGTTGTAGCTGCTCATCCTCTACACCTCTCTGGAGGGCTGAATCTGTTTTATTCTCAAGAGCAACCTTGGCTGCTCAGTCTCAAAGTGGCCAAAGCACTTGGTTACCTCCTCTATATCCAAAGACGAGAACTATAACTACATTTTTAGCATAAGCCTGGAAAGCTTCCTAACCTGTGTTTATCCTCTAAATAGCAGCTGAAGAAAACATCTGATTTGATTGGCCCTTCTCAGTTGTTCTTATCCCCTATTAATCCCTGCTGCTCCCTCCCCAGCTGGGGCTGTCCCCTTTGCTGATTTATCACTCCTTTCTGTGACCACCAGCGCTGCAATGAGAGTTATTAAGAGGTGGTTAGAAAGGGGAGCAGTCGGGCTGTTCTAAACTTAGAGTAACCTGAAGCAAGCCATGAGGTATCCCCTGGTTCCTCTGGTGAACGAGCTGACCTTTCCTCTGCTTTTCTTCTGGTTCTGCTTGCCCTTTGTCATGCTGCTGATCATTGCCATTATCTGGCTACAGCTGCTGCTTAATGAAGGTAAGTTGGGCGGTTGATCAGGTAAAATGCTGCTGCATAAAGTTACCTTACTCTTTAAAGCACTCTGCTGGCTATTTTTAGGTTAGTGCTACTTGTCACAGGAGGAAGCTAAAGGTTTGTTAGTACTGGTGGTAGGATTTAGAAAAAACAAACAAATAATTATGATTTTCTGTCAAAAATGTTCATTAAGACAACCAAGCTGCTACTTACCCTTCTCACACTCTCCCTTTTTCTCAGTGGTAATTTGATTTAAGAAGGACATTTAAGTAATTTTTATCGGTTTCTATTTCAAAAATCTCCCAGAAAGCAAGCCTAATCCTCTAATTTTGTACACTTTAAATTCTGGCTTCACAGTTCTCTTGCACTTCTCTTTTTTGGAAGGGCATGGAGGGTTTTACTGGGGGAGCGGGTGAGGAATTCTTTCAATTTCAATTCTTAATTGAAAGAAAGTTTTGAAGGGAGCAAGACATGCACTTTCATTTATTTATGTATTTTTCCAGTTTGTTTTTCCAATCCATCCCTAATTCTTTCTTTGAACATATCAGCAACCAATAACAGGCTTTGGTTTAGACTAATAATAAGCTTGTTGTTGCACATGTGAGGATAAAACCTTGCTACTGTGCTCTAATGCTGGAGAAAAAAAACCCTAATCCCAGCTGAGGAAGTTCAAAATCAGTGACAAAATATCTATTTTACATAGCTGTGCCATATCCTTACTCTGCAGTTGAGTGCTCAGGCTTGTGTCTGGACAGAGTAATTCTCTTGATGTTTTGAAGGATAGTCTTCAGGTTATTCTTGCTACATTTGCATTCACAATTTCTGGCCTGTAGTGACTGCTCTTAGCACCAGGCCTCCAACTGTTTCCACAAGTGCTCTAAATTACATTTTAACCTGTAAGACTAGACACATCACTAAATTCTTACATACCAGCATATTTACAGAATAAGAACATTAAAGCTTTCCTCAGTTATAAAAATAAAAGTACTCTTTTTAATAACTTCCTAACTAATTCAGTTGTATCCACTTCCTTTATGCTAGTTTACAGCAAGCACAAGTAAAAAGGTAGTGTTTCAGCACCTCCTTTAATAAAATTGCTGACTAAGAGCTAATTAGCTAAAATTAAACACTTCTAAAGGCCTTTTATTGTCTAGTTTGGTTTGAAAATCCTTTATTTCAGATGGAAAAATTCATAGGAACCTTGTACAGCTCCTGGATGGAATGTGCAAGTCTTACAGCCATGGGAAAAAAGTCACATGCAGGTGTTTTACATGTTCTTTTTAAACCTGCTTCTAGCACAGATGCCCAGCACAGAAAAGATTGAGAAAGAATCTCCTGATGAGCCTGATCCTGACTCTGAAGATGAACTATCAGAGGAAGAAAACCAGAGAGATACATCTAGAACAGAGATGCAAGAGGAATCACAATCCAGTGGAGCTGTGGGAAGACTGAGGCCCAAGCCTGCTTATCTGAGCTCAAATCCTAAAAGCCAAAGTCGTCTTGCTGTGACCTCAAACAGCTGCTCCCAGAGGCAGAAGATAAGATATTCCCATGCTGAAAAGAGCATTTTCTCTAACATCCTGATGGTGAGTAGTGGGACCAGGCTGCCTCCTTGCATATCTACTGCTTTTGTGCCTCAGTTCTTTTTTCACCTCTGCCTGACTCAGAGGCCTCTTGGGCAAGACGAAGCTCTAAGATTGGTTTCTGCCTGGTTAATAACTAACAGGAGGTTTTACTTTCTGCCTTCCCTATTTGTGATGACTCCTGTTGTAGATGAGGTAAGGGTAACACAAAATTGTGCAGAATTACTATCATGAGAACTACATTTAAAATGGCAAAATTTGCTACTTATTCCTCTAAGATAAGACGTTTAACTCAACTGTGTGTAAGAACTCTCCTGATATTTATGGCTGGTACTACGTGCTTTAAGAAGTTGCTTCAGATTTCTTACAGTGGAGCATGTGACTGAAAATAAGATGTATTTAACTTGCTCAATAAGAACTGAGGCCAGAAGTCTCTTTGCAAACACAGCAACCCTAATCCTTTCAGGCTTTACACAAATCCCAAAAGATAAATTTCAAGCAGTGGAAGAGCTTCATGTCTTGTGTGTCTACTCTTTCCCTGTGCCTTGACTGTCTGTTCCTTTGCAGAAGGGGCTCACAAGGGAAAGCTGCTCTGTGCCTCCACTCTCACAATTCCCAGTCCTGTCTGCTCAGTTACATTGCTGGGAGTTTTGAATTGCAGCATCTGAGGTATTCTCTTACGTTTCCTTCCACCAGTTCTGCTGGAGTGCAAACCTTGCTTAGGCTGGATTAGCCAAGGACTGGAATCATCTTAAGCTGCTGCAGTTATTTGACTAACACACCCTGAAGCTGAGCTTTAGCATGGCATCAGCAATACCTCAGTTGAAGACATTTTTAAAGCATTAACACCACCAAGGTGGTACCAAATCAGCATAGTAACAAATTTATTTAACATTCATTCATTTCCTAGTTTTTTCAAAAGCTAACAGTGCCAACAGTGAGCTTGGTCCTGCCTAGGGAACCATTTAGTTCTCCTAGAATTCCTCATATGTACAATTATTGACTTGAACAGCTGCTTGAACTTGTCTTTTGTAGGACATAACATTTGTTGGGTGGGTAAGGGAAGGGAACAAGACATGGTGGTTTCAAAATCCTGTATATTCCACTGAAAATAGAACCTCTTCCAAAGGCATTGTTGCAGTGACAATTCTGTTCTTCCTTTTCTTCCCCAGCTGTTGTGCTCCTTACTTTCCTCTCTCACCTGGAGTTTTGTCTCCCTGTTGCTCCAGACCTTTAGCATCCTGAGGACTCTGCTGCTGCCATCCTATCTGGTTACCTACGTGGCTCAGCTGTTTGCTTTGCTGGGTGAGAGAGCTGGGAAAATTCTGGGCTCCCTGAGTCTGGAGAGCAGAGGACTGCTGCTTTCAGTCCTGGGGAGGAAACTGCAGCTGAGCCAAGCTCGGAGAACCACCTCAGGGTGAAAATAAAGCAGGGAGTGCCATGGCAATCCAGGTCAGCATTGGTGACAGCTTCTGCAGCATGGCAGAGGGAGGGGAATTCTCTGAAAAAAGCCCACTCCAGACTAAGTCAGCACCTACTCTGCTCACCACAGTGCTTTCAGAGTGTTGCCTGCCTAAATGTGAAATGATGACCTTGCCCACTCTGCTCCCCTCTCGCCTCAGAGGGATGAGCTCCTTTTTCACAAGGACCAAGCACTCCACCAACAGTGATAGTTTCTGCTCATCAACACTAATCCTTGATTTCAAATAAATAAGATCAAGGCAATGTCTCTCTGTAGCAGTTCTTACTGGATTTTAAATACAATACAGCCATAGGATTATTATACTTATAGTCCAATTAGCACTTTTCTCATCTGCAACTTGTCAGTTCTCAAAGTAAGAACTGACTTCTCAACACTCAGATCTAAGAAATGAAGCAGGCCTACCTCCAAATAACAAGAAATAATTATGCCCTCAGCAGATCCTGAGCGTGCATGTCCCCGATTTCCGTTCAGGCTTTGTTTTTCAGCACAGCTGGCAGGCTGATGGAAGGTAGATTACAGCCTAGAGAGGCACTCACAGCAGCTCGATTTAACCAGTTATTGCAGCCACAAGGAGGGCGAGGAGCCCGAGATGAGCCATCGTTTTGTAGCCTAAGGGTTTATGGAGGTGCGGGGTTTGAACAGAACAGCTGTGCGCTCTTGTGTCGATGCACACGTCCAACACACTCTTTTGTTTTCAAGAGGACCTGAATTACAAAGCAATCCAAAGAGCGCGCTGCCGCTGGTGGGAATCATTGTTCTGCTGCCCGTGTGCGGTGCCTGTCTCTCCAGAGCCTTACACGGGCACACTGTGCAGCACCAGCCCGCAAAAATGATGAAACCTGCCCTGGTTGTGTTTGCTTTTCCCACCCTGAGCCCCGCGTGGCCAAATATTTGTCCACGCTCTTAAATAAAACTTGTTTGCCAGCATCTTTATTTTCGCGGCGCCTTTCTTTAGAAAGGAAAACACAAAAGAAAAAGAAAAGCTGTTTGCCCAGGACATCCCGGGAGAGAGCTTGGGGGTTCTCCAGCGGGGATCCCCCGTTTCTTTCCCCGCCCGGCAGCGGCGAAGGGGAAGGGTGGGATGCTCCGGAGAGATGCGGAGGGAGCGGGCGGGGAGAGGGGCGAGCTTAGAGGGGCGGGACGGGGGCGGAGGGAAGAAGGGTCTCCTCTGCTTCTCTCGCCTCCGCCGAGCGCTGTGCTCGGCCCTGGGCGGCTCCGGCCAGCTGAGATGAAGGTCGGGAGAAACCCCCGCTCTCTGCTCTTCTTCTTCTCCGGCCGGGCTCTGCAGCGCTGACCGCTCCAGGTGGGCACTGACCGCTCCAGGTGGGCACTGACCGCTCCATATGGGCACTGACCCCTCCGGGTGGGCACTGACCCCTCCGGGTGGGCACTGACCGTCCCGGGTGGGCACTGACCGCTCCAGGTGGGCACTGACCCCTCCAGGTGGGCACTGACCACCCCAGGTAGGTTGATGCTTGGCGCTGCTGGGGGGCTCCGGCCGTGCCCCGCAGCTCCGGGGGTCTGGATGCCGTGGTTGTGCAGGGATGAATTGTCGCTTTTCCTGCAGAATTTGGCTTCTGCCCCTTTGGGGAATGGGGTTTTGTCTCGGTTGTACTGATATTGTAAAGCGAGAAGGATGTTTGCTGGTAGTGCCAAGGTTTTTTTCTTTACCTTTTCCATCATATAGGCTAAAAACGTGTTGGCAAGAAAGGCTTCATCTGGCAGCTGCATTGTTGGGGATGCCTGTAATATTGCAGCTGAAGCCCTGGGGCTGATACCTCCTGTCTCTTCACTTGTTTAGGCGACTTGAGTCTTTTAGACTGTGCTAATCTCTGCTCAAAAAGAAACCCTGTTACCTTGAGGTAGTTGCCAGAATGCCACAGTTTAAGTTAAAAATGTTATACTGGTATCATCATTGCAAAGAAGTAGATGAAACTGAGGTGGGTAAATAAACAGTCTAAAGGTCTAGGAGAATATTACTTCTTGTACTACATGGTGATGTTCTAAAGCCTGGTGCTACCAAAGTGTATGCTTTGTGTAGTTTTTAGTCTGTGTAAATACACTCAGAATAGCTTTAGCTTGGCTGGGCTGGCTGTCCCTGGCAGTGTCACTGTAATAGCAGGGAGGTTAGTGCCAGCTTGCAAAAACCTGCTTGAGAAAGCTACTTTGAGGACTCCTAGTTCCTGCAGAGTTCCCCAGGACCACAGCTATGCTGATGGCACTAGTGGTTTAAACCTGGTTTTCCTGTCTTTGAGCTATGAAAAATAATGCACAAATAAATATTTGGCAGTTAAGAATAGGACTTTTGTGTGTGAAATTAGCTAAAAGCAGTATAGAAAGGGCATTTTGGTTCACCATGGCCTCTTTCAAGAGGCTGGTGGTGTGTGAACCTGGCCTGGAGAATGGACACAGACCTACAGATCAGGGGTCCCAGTCTAAACCCTGTGGACTTTTTATTGTGATCCACATTTCTTAAAACATTTCCTTTCCCTGAATCTGGCTGTAATGCCTCCCCTGTGCCTGTCTTTGCTGGGCATTTGGAGCTCTCAGCATTAATGTAGCTTGACCTTGAAGCTGCCTTGTAGTCTGCAAGTGCTTCAATAGCATCTGTGAGTTTGTGTTTTAATTTCCTTTTGCTGTTTGCTCAAAAGCTGCTTCCTGGGCATCAACAAGAGGGTTTGCAGCCTTGGATGCTGTAGTGGAGCTCCTGCCAATGTGATTATTTACACTGACCACAAATAGTTTTGGATTTAATTCACCTGAGGGTCTCCTGTTCACCTGGTGCATCATTTCTCATATTCATCCAGCAGCCTCTGTCCCAGAGCTCTTCCATGCTGCAGCAAGCAGGTATTTTTCTCAGCTGAAAAGATAGCAAAACCTGGATTGAACACTTTGGAGCACAGCATTAGTGAGAGTTGTAATTTGGTAGTTCCTTTTGGCTAAAGTTAAGCCTCCTGGGAAGTGGAAGATGCATTTCTGTGTGCCAAACAGTACTATACGTCTTTTGTGACCTTTTGCACATCATTTGATCTCTCTTTTTTTCCCTCCTTGTTTGTAAAGCCTTTACTTTGCAGGCATGTTGCAGGGGTGGGGTCTGTTAAACATTAAGACTGTTGGGAAGCATTGTATGTACAAAAACATAGATAACAATTTCTTTCTCCTCTGGGCTCAAAACTCTGGAAGATGTTGGTGAAAAGACCCAAACTCTAATCTAGTGTAAACTGAAGTGACCTAATGTGTTTTGGTGGATTTAAGTGATAAACATATCTCAAATCACTAAGTCAAAGCATTTTTAAGGTCTTGCAGCATGTGGGGATCCCTAACTTGTCAGCAGGACCTCTCTGAGTAACAGCTGGGTGAGCTGTGCCTGTTTACATCCTTCTCCTGCAGGAGTCATGGGATGATTTAACTTGGTTGACATCTGTTTCCAGTAAAGAGGAATTAGGGTTCTTGGGTCCAAGCTGTATGAAGAAAAATAACACTGAATGTTTGGCTCAAGATCCCAAGAGGGCGCAGCAGCAACAGCAGCCGAGCTCTTGGGTTTATCAAAACACATTTTTGAAGTAGTTTTTTTTTTTTTTTTTTTAATATGGGAAGGAAAAACTGTAACTGTTGTTTCCCACTTCACAGCATCTTTGATGAGTTGGATAGAGAGTTGTGTTACTTGTCAAAGCTTTATAAAATGCAGTGGGTGAGTGTCCAGCTTGCCTTAAGGAAAATATCACTCACTGGAGTGCTAAAATAGGAGCCCAAAGAGGTGCTGGCACCTCAGTTCTTTACAAGACCCAGCTGGCCAAAGCTTTCAGAACCCTGCTCTGGCTGTTTGACCCTGCTTTAAGCAGGAGGTTGGCTGAGGTGGTGACCTGAGGAGCCCCTCACTGCTTGTGATGGTGTGAAGTGCTCCAGGAGCAGCAAAGGAGCCCCCACCCCTTCAGGGCCTCCTTAAAAATCCCTGTGGGACTTGCACTGGGATCTTCTTTTGGGTAAGGAGGTCACTAGGGCATACATGTAATACACTCCTAGATTTTCTATCCTTGAGACATTAGAAACTACCATACCTGACCAATGATATCGTGTATTTTATCTTCATATGCCTTTTTGGCTCCCAGTTCAGCAAAATATTTTCTTAATTGGGGAGATGTTATGGCCCATATGCTTCTATTCCAAGCAGTTTAAATGCTTTCAGTTGGAGACATAAAAATATCTTAGTTGTGACATGATGTTTGAGCCTTCCTGCTGTGGATGCAAAATCCATATGGCAACGAGGCTTAATTGAAACCTGCTGGAGTTACTTTTCTCCTGCAACATATTGTATTAAATATTCTTCATGCAGCTGGCTTGAAAGGACTACCCTTGATTAGATATTTCTAATCAATTAGTGCTTTTGGAAATTCTGTTCCTCTCCAAGATTCATGATTTTGATCTATGCAAAGCATTTCAGTTTGATAAACTACATATCAACAGCATGTGTGATTTATTCATTATTTATTCCACAGACTTTAGGTGTAAGTCATCCACTACAGAGTTATTGATTGGGTGGGTAAGTCCTTCCAGGTGTGTTGTGTAGTGAACAGCTTGTCTGAAATCAGAACTTGTTGCTTGAAGAGTTGGGTCTCTAAACTGGTTTGAGCTTCAGATGTTTGCAATATTTCCTGGTATTTGTTGCTGTTTGGTCAGACCGTTGGGTCAGTTTGCAGGGGAGTATGTTTTGTGATTGCAATTAAGATTGGAGAAAGAAGTACAAAAGCTGATGTAGCTTAAAGCATACTCCCCAAAGCAAATTACTGCAAGAGTCTGGAATGTGTTGGTGGGAGGCTTCAGTTTTAGTGAGATGTTGCTCTGTGCATGCAGGAGTCCTTCCCTTCCTAAATAATTGTTTCCATGTGCAAGGCTTATTCCATCAGCCCCCAGGGCTGCCAGTGCCTGGACTGCTGAGCTGTTAAAATCTGTGTCTCTTGTAAGAATGAGGATCTTTCTCACTAAATATTCTGTGCCAGCTGTGTGCAAAGGGAACTTTGCTCTCATCAGACAGGAAAATAATAAGGCAGCCCCCACTGAGGACCTTTTAGAACAAACAATATTCTGGTATTTCTTTCTCCGTATTTTGAAATCTTTTGGGGGAAACGTTTCAGGACCCTTGAATCTTCCTGCATGACATCTGGCAAGCCCATTATGAATTCACTAGTTCTCTGAAAGTTTAGTTCTTGTATAATATGGAATTTTTGAAGAATTTTTAATTCTTATTGGATATTAATTCAATTGAAGGTTGTGGTCTGTGAGGTGTCCTCATGAACACAGACACTCCCATCATGTGGTGAAGTGACAGTAGCCTGCTGGCCATTGCACACTGGTGGGTCAAGAGTAGCAAACTGGGCAGCCTGGGCATGGCTGAAGCACTGACAGGAGCCTGCTGGCCAAGAGTTATTTTATATTCCTCAGCTATCTCTGCTTGGTCGCCTAGGGAAGTGTGAGAGATGTATCATTGTAACTGAGAAACATTGGAGAGGCATAAATCTGGAGTATTCTTCACTCCCCTGCCTCTGCACTTTTCTCTTTGAAGGCTCTCATTTCTGAATCAGATTTCAAGTGATGAACACGGGAAATAAAGGTGGAATTTCTTGTATGGAAGCCCTTGAGTGAGCCCTTGAGGAGCCTGGAACTCTTGCAAAGCCCATAGCAGGTGGCCAATATATAATGGAACTGGAAGGATATCCTCTTTGGGCAACAAATAAATACAGCTTTGCTGATGAAAGTTGTTTTTCTCGGTCAAGGTAAAGCTGGGACAATGTTCCTGTTTGAAAGCAGCGGGGCTGACACAGTGGAAGGAAATCCCTGTGTGTCCCCCAGCGGAAGGTGAGGCATGCAGGGCAGTGTATACATCCCTGCAGCTGATCTCCCAGCCCGTTCTTTGGGGCAAACA